CTTTGGCTCATGGAACATAGTGGAACAAGGGGTACAGAGGATGCTAATGCATCTCTAAACTCTCACCAGTGAAGCTTCCTCATGAAACAGTATGATGCACTCAGAAGGTCACAACTGGTCAAAGTGTAGAAAATGAGAGACTGTAGACATCATGTCTCTGGATAGGACTCCTATATTAGATCTCACCCACCCATGGCTCAGGAACCATTGTGGAAGAGGGGCTGGAAAGATTGTTAGGAGCCAGAGTTGGCGCATAATCATAAGGAAACAGAGTGTTCCAGGCCTCTGGAACTTGCTCATATGAACTTAAAGCAATGGTGTCAGCATGCACAAGACCCATGCAAACTCAGACAAAAATCTAACACAGAACAGGGGAAATGGGCAGCAGGCCCCAACCTTAGCTCCAAAGCTATTGACAGCTGATTACTGCTGGGTGAGAGAGAGCTGATCTTTAAGGGAGAGACTCTAGATATGTTGACTAGGCCCCAGTGGATGAACCTGCACTGAGGGACATCAGGGTACACAAACTTGACTTGATAGACCTTAACATATATGACAGAATGCATGAGATCTCAGGGAGAGGGTGTTATGGAGGTTGGGAGGAGGGAAGGGGGTACTAATATGACTAAGATGTTTTGTATGAAATGCACAAAAATTCAGTAAAAATAGACATTGAAAAAAATAATTCATGCATAAAAAATCAGACTCTGCACAGTGCTGGTGATGGAGCTGGGTGAGCAGAGAGTTACCATCTCCTTGCTCCTCCTCGGTCTGTGCTCAGCCCTCCTTGCTTGCTACCCATAGACCCATCTTGCCTGTCCTCTGGCATTTTGTAGTATATCATGAATTACATGAACAAGTACGCAGTCATATTTATATTGTTAAGCAGTTATGAAAAGTCATTTTGTGAAATATTTACATGACTAAATAAGAAGAGAAGATAAAACACAAATGAGGGGCGGGAAAGACGGCTCAGTGGTTAAGAGCACTGACTGCTCTTGCAGAGGACCCAGGTTCAGTTCCCAGCACCCACATAGTGGCTAACACATCTGTAACTCCACTTCCAGGGGATCTGACGCCCTATTTTGACCTCCACAGACATTGCACACACGGATCACTTACATACAAGTAGGCAATACACTCAGACATAAAAATAAATAAAATATCTAAAAGAAGAAATAGAAGTGGCTGATACAGATTAGAGAAGTCCAGGACTATTTGTATTAAATGCCAGGAGAAACTAAAACAAATAATACAGTAAAATTAGTCCATTTTAACAGAGGAGATCATAATCTTAATTACATATTTATTTTTGTTCCATAAAATATATTGTCATTGAGCCAGGCGTGGTGGCACACACCTTTAGTCCCAGCACTCAGGAGGCAGAGGCAGGTGGATCTCTGAGTTAACAGGCCAGCTGGGGCTACAGGGAGACCCTGTCTCAAAAAGACAACAACAACAAACCCACAATGTATTTTCTCTTTGTTGTGCCTGTTGAATTGTCCTGTTAAAAAAATAAGTACCTAAATTCATTAGAAAATAAAAAATTCTCTCTCTCTCTCTGTGTCTCTCTGTGTGTGGTGTATGTGTGCATTCCTGTGCATGTATATTTGGAGGTCAGAGAAAGATGTCAGGTGTTTTCTTCAATCACTGTCTATTCTTTAATTTTTAATTTATTTTATGTATATGAGTGTTTTGCCTGCATGTACATAAGTGCATCCATGTCACGCAGTGCCCACTGAGGTCATATCCACTGGAAATGGAATTATGGATGGTCATTATCCATTATGTGGATGGTGGGAATCAAACCTGGGTCCTCTCCAAGAGGACCTCCCACTCTCTCCCGCTCCCACCTCTCCCACTGCTCTCCACATTATTTTTTGTGACAAGATCTCTCACTCAACTTGTAGTTTCAGCTACATTGGAAAGTCAGTAAGATCAAGGAATCCACCTGTCTCCACCTCGCAGCTCTGGGATAATAGTCCTGCCCTCCAGGTCATCATTCACATGGGTGCTGGGGATCCAGACTCAGCTCCTGGTGCTTATGCAGCAAGCACCTTACCAACTACGCTATCTTCTGAACCCTAAATTAAGCTTTTCACAAAGGAAATTATGTCAGCAAGAAAGGAGGGCTATTACATGGAAGGAGGCATCATCCCTGAGGGAGGCCAGTCCCACACAGACTAGAACAGGTTAGGAGGCAGGCAAACAGAAGGAAACAGGCTTGCTCTTGCAGCAGAGGCAGCAAAGAGCTGAAGACGGCCCTTTCCAGCCTTCCCTGTCCACATCCTGCTCTGTGCAGTAGTCTGCATCTGGACCAGGTCTGGGCTCACAGCTCTGGTCAGAGTCATGCTGCCCCGGGCTCCACAGTTCTTCCTGCTCCTCACTGTGCTGTTGCTGCTGTCACTGACTCGGGGAGCACTCCAACATCCAGCAAAGTACTATGGTAGGTAATGGGCAAGGTGGATATATGGGTGGCAGGCAGGGAACAGCTGAACACAGGCCCAGAAGGAGCAAGGAGATGATTTCTCTCTGCATACCCTGCTCCCTATGGCACTGTACAGACTCTGGGGGTTCACAACCCTCATACTTGGTGCCCAAGACTGGGAACAGTGATGGAGTAGAGGTGAAGCTGCTCCCCACCCCCATCTTATTCCAAGGACACAGAAACAAATAGTCCATTCTGTGGTGAAAGGGACGCCAGGGTGAGAATACAATGGGCAAATTGGACAATTACTTGAGGGTTATGCCAGTTTAGTTCAAATAACCATGTACAGCTGTTCATTAGGGTAGACATTAATGTAGATATGGGTGTATACATGCAGAAATACAAGACAATTGAACAGAAAAAAAGTGAGATGCGGTTACCATCTGAGGGATACTGATCACTAGAACTGGATGAAAAGCACAGGAAAAGTTCCTGAAAAGCATGGGGGTGTTTGATGAGAGCTGAGTCCCAACATTCTGGAGGAACTTTAAGCTTAAGGGGCATTCTCTCTAGGCAGCCACCTCTGCTCACCTGTTCTCGCTCCTTTCAGTAGACTATGGTCGTCCTGTTATCACAAAATGTGAGAGGAGGCCCAAATGGTATCAATGCACTCGTAACTGCGAAGCTCACCAAGACTGCCAAGCAAATAACATCTGCTGCTCAACCTTCTGCGGGAACATCTGCGTGAACTTCCTGGAAGAAGATGGGAGCTATGCTATGCCCATTGCTCCACCTGAAGCTGGATAACCAGAAGGCGAGCCCTTCCCTTAGGCCACTTTTGAAGGAGATGGAAGCCTAATCATGACCACAGTAACGCAACAAGGAACACCATAGTCCTAACTGTCTGAACCCACTGTCCCTGTCAAATAAACCAGAACAAATATCCTGGGACCTGGCCCGTTTGTATATATTGTTAATAATCACTAAGAACCCAGTGCAGTGCCTCTCTCTCTCTCTCTCTCTCTCTCTCTCTCTCTCTCTCTCTCTGCCTCTACTCTGTCCTTTTGGCCTTGGAACCCACTCCAACTCAGAAAGTTCAACCCACAGAATGAGCTCCTCCACAGTAATCTGCTCCTGGGCAGCATGTCTCAGTGCTGAGACCCTTCCCCACCCTTGAGACAAAAGGACCTGTTAAGCATCTTACAGGTGGAGATAAAATCTATACCACAGAGTGAGAGGCCCTGCAAACACGGTTTCCTCTCTTTAGCTTTGGTCTCCCTATCTGCTTCAGAGATTGAGATTACTGTTGTTTCCAACAGAGGATAATGAACCCGGAGAAAGCCGGTGACGTGATTAGGCCAGGATAGAGTGAGGGGCTGATTCTGTCTTTTTGCTCAGTTCTCTCCATCACCTGAACCCAGAAGTATTCTTTAGTGTGCTTCTTTAGAATCAACTTCCTGTTGCCTATCACAGACATATATGTATCAGGTGACCCAAGTGTGCCTTGCTCGGCAGAGAACCTTCTCTCATGATGGATGGTGATACTGACAAGCAACAGAGTCTTGGACCCTGGGACTTGTGTCTTTACAACAAGCCATTCATTAGAACACTCAGATGGTTTTTATACATCCCAAGGAACTGTCAGTCACATGGGATATGGCAGTCACATACAAAGATTTAGGGTACAAAGAAACAGGACATCTAATCTGTTAGTTGGCACCAGAAGGATTCTTAAACTTTTACTCAAGGTTATCAATGCCCATCCAGTAATTTATTGGCCACCGTGTTCTCTTCCTCAGAGTTAACAGCATGGTAAACTTTTAGCCTTTAGCTCAGGAGTAAACCTTTAACCTGGACTGATCTCTTAGCTAATGATAGCTGAGTTATTTGTTCAGGACACGGAGATGAGCTAAGGGTTGTTGACCAAGACATTTTTCCACAGAGCAAGGAGCCTGCACTTATGACCAGGCCGCTGTCGCCTGCCAGTCTCGCAGTGTTCTGCAAGACAGGGATTATCAGAGCTACTGTTTTCAGCACCCCTCCCTTTAGCAGAGAATGCAGCTCACCTCACCCTAGGGCCTGGCATCTTGGTTTCCTGCATATATGGACACACCAGTGGTGGTTCCTGGATTAAGAGTGGGATCTGAGACTCCAGTGACTTTATTAATATTCTCCACCATTTCCAAACCCTCCTCCATATAATAGGACATTTGAGGAGAGGAAAAGGCCAGGATGGATCAGGGAGACAAGGAGAGTAGCCCTTCAGTTAAAAACAATCAGCAAATAGCCAGCTTCCACTCTTAGATTTGGGGATTGTGTCTGTTCTCTGAGCTTTTGATTCATAACTATGTCTACTTCATGTACTTCATGTGTCACAGGGGAAGATTTACACCAAAGGATACATCTTACTGGTGAAGTTTCAGCCAAGTGAGGGCTATCATGAGTATGGGAGACTTCCAGAAACCATGCACATAACATTTTTAGCACAGGAAAACCAGCAAGCACTGGCAACTTGTCTAATCCTTGAGGATCTGAGTGGTCTTCTGATCCTATGAAGTCCCCACCACATGGCAAGAGAGGTGTACAGTACAGATGGATGCTCCATTACCCACTTACAAGTGGGGATAAGAGGCATGAGCTAACTGGGTGAAGGTGTGCATAGATTGTGGTGAGAGTCCTAGTACCTGCTTTGGTACAGTGGAGGAGGAAGATGCACACAGTGATGTAACATACCCAAGCACTCAGGTCTCTGATGCTGTTTATTTGTACTAAAAAGTATTATCCAGGGCTGGAGTGATGGCTCAGCAGTTAAGAGTGCTGGCTACTCTTACAGAGGACCCACATTCAGCTCCCAGCACCCACATGGTGGATAACAACTGTCCATAACTCCAGTTTCAGAAGATCTGATACCCTCATATGACCTCCACAGGCATTGCACAAGACAGGTGCACTCACATGCATACAGGCAATACACTCATACACATTAAATAAAGATAATAAATAAAATATTTAAATTATCCCAGCCCAGAGTTAGAAATCTATTCATCTGTAAGTTGTCAGTCTTTGTTCTTCTTTGTGTTTTATTGTTATTTTATTTATTTGTATCTGTGTGTGGTGGTGTGCACCTGTAGATGCCTATAGAGCCCAGAAGATGGTGTCAAAGCCCCTAAGCTGTCTCATGTGGGTGCTGAGAGCTGAACTTGGGTCCTCTGGAAGCAGCAACTGCTCTCAACCACTGAGTCATCTCTCCATGCCCTCAGCCCTCTTTTTTTTTTTCCTTTAGAATTTAAAAAAATTAAGTGCACCCGTGTTGTGCAGTGCCCATGGAGGACAGAAGAGGCTGTCGGATCCCCTGGAACTGGCGTTACAGACGGTTGTTAGCTGCCATGTGGGTGCTGGGATTTGAACCCGGGTCTTCTGAAAGAACAACCAGTGCTCTTAACTGCTGAGCCATCTCTCCAGCCCCTCTTCTTTATCTTTTATTTATTCTTTGACAGTGTCATAAATGTAAACACTGTACCTTAATCATATCCACCCCCCAAATCTTTCTTCCTACTCCCCCACAGCCCTCAACACATCTCACCTTCATATCCTCTTTTTTATTTCTATTGTTTTAACTTTAAAAAAAATTATTGAGAATTTCATACATGCATATAGGTGTTCTGATCAAATCCATGCTCATTCCCTCCCCTCCAACTCCTCCCATATCTCCCCATCACTTTTTTCTGACAACTTTGTATATTCTTTCTATTTTTTTAATGGGGCTTTTTGCTACTCTAACGTTCCCCCCTCTAAAGACATAATCCTAAAATCTTTTAGGGATTAGATAAGAGTTCCAAAATACTTATCTGAAGAGGTAACTCTAAAATCTTTTAGGGATTAGATAAGAGCTCCCAAATGCTTTTACATTTTTGGCCTTTGGAACAGAGTATGTTGCTGACAATCTCAAGGACATTTTGACTTTTAGCCAAGAAACTGCCTACTTTTCTTTGGGGTCTTTTTACCCTAACTGCCTAGCCAATTCCTGCCTCCTATTCTTATCACACCATCCTCTGAAGAGATTACCCAACTTGCAGATAGGCAATCAGGACACAGATCACTCTGGCTTCTTCCATGCTGAACAGGGATGCAGGGTGAGGCAATTGGGGTACCCCTTCAGTGGACGCTATCTAAAAGACTCCCAAATTGCATAACTCTTATCTGTAGGAAGAAAAGAAAGTCCTTGACTGGTGAATAGGGGATGTGAGGGAGAAGTAAAGGCAAGAGAAGTTAGCATTACAAGTTCTAGACAGAGAACCAGAAAAAAGTCAACAAGGCAAAGCAAATTGTATGTTCATATGAGAGTCCATTGGAGTTTCTTGACAAGGGCTTCCAAAAGCATCCCTCTATTGGGTTCCTCCTCATTTTTCTTTTCTCTTCCAAGGCTGAACTTGAGAGTGATGGACTCAGGATTTGTCTTCAGGGACTTTGATAGCTGTTGGAGTGGCAAGAATCAGTGTCAGTTCCCTCTCAAAGGCTTCTAGATAAGGGGAGAAAACAAATTTAGCCATCATCATCACACACTGAGGCATTAAACAAACCTCAACAAATACAAAAAAAATTGAAATAAATCCCATACATTCTATCAGACTACAATGTAATAAAGCTCAAAATCAACAGCAAAAGAAGTTCTAGTAACTACATAAACTCATAGAGATTAAACAAGAAATTGAGAAAGAAATAAAAGTGTTCCTGGAATGAAATGGAAATGAAAACACAACAGAACAAAACCTCTAGGACACTTTAAAAGCAGTCCTGATTTCCATTTCCAGCTGGCAGAGTTCACTGCCCTGGAGGGTAGTCCTCGCTTGGTCACCATGGGAAAGTCCAGTTTTCTTACCCCGGCCATCGCCAACAGGATCAAGTTCAAAGGACTCTAAAAGCTGCTCCGGTATTGCTGGATGTGCCAGAAGTAGTGTGGAGGTATGAATGGCTTCAAGTGTCATTGTATGTCTGAATCTCATCAGAGACAACCCTGGCTGGCTTCAGAAAATCCTCAACAGACTGTGGAATCCTCTTTTTCAGAGGAATTCCAAAATGACTTTCTAGAACTTCTCGGGAGACACTTTGGCACTAAAAAAGTCCACAACTACACTGTCTACAATGAATACATCAGCCACCATCAGCACATCCATATGAACGCCACTCAGTGGGAAACGCTTACCGATTTTACTAAGTGGCTGGGCATAGAGGACTTGTGTAAAGTAGGCCAGACACCCAAAAGGCTGGTACATTTAGTACATAGACAGTAACCCAGAAACTATTCACCAGCAACTGGAATTGGGAAAAAAGAAGCAGCAAGACCTGGATCTGAAGAGAAAACTGCCCCATTTATCAAGGAACAAGGGGGAAGAGGTCTGGAGGGAAAAGAGCAGGAGAGACCCCCCCATTTTTACGGAATTAAGCGGAGAAAATGATGTAGAGAAAGTTACATTTAATCTGAATAAAGGAACATGGAGCTCTACAGGAGCAAAGGCCTCCAAGACAAGTTCTTTGGGGCCAAGCACGCTGAAGCTTCTTAGGGGCACAGCTGCAGGGAAGGGAAAAGAATCTTCACAGGGCTCAGTGCAGTCTAAAGAAAAGACGAAAAAGAAGTCTGCCTGGGATGAAAGCGTGGGGATGGAAGAAGAAAAGAACTGCTCAAACACACTACTGGCTACGGTCTGAAATTGTTGTGAAAATTATAACCAAAACACTTGGAGAAAAATCATAACAAAAACAGTGTTATTAAGGAAGTAATTGACAAGTATACCACTGTTATAAAAACGATTGATTCTGGAGACAGGCTGAAACTTGACCAGACTCATTTAAAGACAGTGATTCCAGCACCTGGACAGAGTGCTCTAGTTTTACATGGAGGCTACAGAGAAAATGAAGCTACCCTAGAGTCCATCAACAAGAAGACTTTTTCAGCTACTATAGGTCTTGAAAGTGGACCTTTAAAAGGACGCAGAGTTGAAGGAATTCAATATGAAGACATATTTCAACTTACCTGAGTTTGAACATTT